GTAACTGCAAAATGTGTCGTTAATTCTGTAAAGTGTCATAAAATCCTTAATTAGAAATGATTTATGAGTTGGATTAATGTGGGAAATTGAACCAAAATATTGCTTTTAATTGGACATTTTGGATTTAAAATACAAAATAAATAAATAAATGCTGACGTAGATGCAGATTTGCAGACATAAATGAACAAAAAAAAAAGCTAGATTCATGCTGGGTGCTTTAAAGTTGCTTAAATAAACTGTATCTTATTCCAGTCTTGGGGTAGAAATCTGAAAAAGTTGAATGGGTTTACCCTTGTCGTTTGGTATAAAACAATGCATCAAATTTTGTGTTTATAGTTACATTAAACTATTAAATTTGGAAAAAAAAATAGGCCCATATAAATCTCTGGACAGACAAGAAATGACACGAACAAGACATGGTCCAGCAGAGTTGAGGATCGTTGGGGGAAAACATTGTGTAATTTACAATACAATATAATCCCTTTTGTGGCTTGTGTCAAAAGCGTTTATTTTGAAGGATTTACTTCTCTAAAACACATGATAAAAAAGAATAAACGTTGGCTACACGTTGGTATTAAAATTACAAAATGTTCTCAACAACATGGGGAGTGATTTTAATCGAAATATGTTGAAAAATCGGGTTTATTCGCATTACAAGAGATGAGCCTTTTACGCACGACGCTGCCTTATATTTAATGAACGTGTAGCTACATTTCCTTTGGCGCGCTCTCGTGGGATGTGCCTAAGCCTTATATCTATACCATTACTGTGACCGATGCGTTTCCCCTTTGTAATGACTGACAGCTGGACACGGGACGCACTAAAAACACGTTTTAGCTTTACGTCTCCGGCACGCAGCCTGTCACGTAAAACAAGCCGAGCCTTATTTTTTGTGGGGTCGCTCGGTTTAAACGCGGTGTCACTGTCCTTTATTAGCGACGTCATGCGCTAATGGGAATATCGATTTTAGTGTCTGGCAGCGGTGCGTTTGTGTCGCGGATGTCAAGGATGAGAGGACGACTGCGTTTACAGCCAGGGGTGACACCAATACCGGTTTATGCCTCAAAAAGAAAAATAATAATAATAAAACAAAAGAAAAAGTATATAAAAACTATCCAAAATGGTGTTGCGCGTATAAGGAATTCAGATTGTAGAATTTCATGATGTCATACTCTCTGATGGAGGGGGAGAGAAGAGAGGGGATCACCTATTGCATGTTCCTATTTTTACAAGAAATATCGAAAATAAAAATCCATAAATGCTGCACCTGGACAATAAGGCCTACATTGGTTTCAGCATACTGTTATCTGCGACATTTTGATGACTTTTTCTCAAATGATATAGACAAATATTTTGTTTTACATTGTGAATCGCAATGGCAGCAACTCCCCCATTTTTTTAATCTTTTTGCAAACTATGGATATAAAATAAATGACAAATCCCTCATTTCCAACTATTTTACGCGTGTGAACCCGAAATTTGCGCTTTCAAAAATCTGCCTGTACCTCATACCAGTTATAGGCCTTTGGATGTTATGATGTCACGTGAAAGTCAGCGACATTATTCAAAAGAAAAGACGTTTAAAATGTTAAAATGTCAAATCTGACCTTATCTAACAATAAGACATACTAAACATGCATTTAATAGTGCATTTTGCATCACCAAGTCTGCAATTTATAAAAATATAGGTCTGCGTAATGTGTCGACGTCCTCTGAAACCCGTAATGAATTTAAATGCGCAGATACCAAATGTATGTGTGACTATAGATCTCAATAGACGGTCCTTGGTGTGACTCTTGGCGCGCTCAGTGAGATTTAGGCTTCAGAGGGGTCATGACACCGCGTGACAGGTCCCGCCCCGGGGCCCTGAGCTGTCTCTGCCTCAGACGGGGGTTGATTTATCTACGGGCCAAGCGAGTCTCTGCGAATATGACGGCTTAAAATAACAATATATTTAGGAGAACGGATTATGCGTAAAAAAGAGCAAGGCAGCGATGACAAATTAAGGTTTGGGCACGATAAAGAACACGGTGGAGATTTAATTTAACCTTAAGTGCTAAAGAATCATTTTTATTTTAAATTCCAAACCTTTATTGTGATATTATGGATAGCCAGACCCTCATCTGTTACATGGTGAATTATATTTGTCCGCGCTGTGATTCTCTGACCTGAGCAGCGGGGTGTTGGCAACAAAAGCAGCGCCTTTTCATTCACATCTGACCTCAAAATATGTCTCTTTTCGCTGCCAAGAACGTGTAAAGAAATGTGGTGGTTATGCCATTAAAATAACTGGAAGAAATATGAATTATGGATGAAATTGTCCACATATTTTTAAATAAGACAATATACATGTTTTTAAAATAGCCTAAAAACTGACAATGTTTTTAATGCAGCGTAAATCAATTATGACTTATGCGTAAAATTGTAAATAATAGAATATGAATCAGTAGGCTAATACTGCTGTTTACGATGAGCAAAGCTGTATAAAAATCCTAGTTTCATTATTATTTTCACTAAACTAGATATTGTGGTGAACATCTATAGCTGGAAATACGTGTGGCTGTGCGTAATTGCTATACTATCCGCTAAATAAACATAAACAAACATAACCGAAATGATCGCTGGTGTGTTTGGGGCGCGCTTGCAGCCTGTGTAAGTGTAGCGGGGTCTGCATGGCTCGGGTTATCTGTGAATGGGCTCTTTATTGGAGGCGCGGAGTGGGGATTTGCCTTTTATTCGCCTCGCTATGGAAACGCGCTCGACGGCACAAAAATGTCCATGTGAATAAAAGGGATCGGCACACGGAGAGTTTCTAGAGAAGCATCTGTTACACTTAGAAACTTAGACTGTTGAGAGAGAGCACCCCCGTATAGAGTTAAGTCCACCCTGCTTTGGCTTCGTGCGTAAAATATATCTTGTTTTGGGGTTTTAAAATGATGTGAACTTCCAACTCCAACAATAGATTTAAAGTTGTAAAACGCAAGCTTCTTGTTCGTTGAAATAGCCAAGTTTTACGCACGTGTTATATTATATGTTATATTGCTGAAGTGAAATTGTGAATATTATAAAAAAAATCAATGTGTACATTTGCTAAAAGTTTGCCTCAAATGTTTAAAATTTACAACATTTAAGTGAGACGAATTAATAGCCTAATCTGTTTTCTAACTGTGCTTTTAACACTGACATCAAATACTGTCTTCCAGCTTCAAACTGTCAAATTACGCAATGGAAAAAGACAAAATCCTACCCATTAAGCCCAATGTATATGTCTTTTTTTTTTTTTTTTTTTTTTTTTTTTTTTTCAGTTGCATGGATTTAGAGGAGAGCTGTGTCCCCTGTCTAACCCTGATAGCGGGCCCGTCCACCCCCTGCGGCCCCGGGTCCCCTCGCCCACCCCAGCGGCCAAACCCCTCACCTGATTCGGCCTCCGGTGCGCCTCCTGCCCGCTTTCTTCTCCTTCTTCTTTCCCCCAGCACCGCGGTAGCTCCTCGGCTCTGCGCTCTTTAATGACTTTCTGGTGGCTGCAGTGCTTCTTTTATTTCTCCTAAATGTATGAAAATGTATGCTAATTTAAATCAAGCTTAACCTGGGAGCCCAAGCAATATATTTAATGGAATTTCACAAACCAATAAGGAGACTGGAACGCGGCAGTCTTCTAATGGCAAATATAATTACGCAGGCGAAGTTAGGGCTCAGATATGCAGTTAGATTAGGTTTTTCAATTCAGACACGAGCTGTGGGGAGATTTTTAAATAGTGCTACAATGAAGGAGGCCTCGTTTTGTACGACTAGTAAAGGATTTGAATCAATGAATTTCATGAGCAGAAAATGTGGGGTTGTCGTCTTGTCTTAAAAACCTGGGATTTCTAGTTAATGCAAGTACATTCTCACCTACATCCCTGACAGTTATATTTCCACTATTGAACGGTAATGAATATTTATTATGGGAATGTTCGTGCGTAAAACCAGCGTGTCACCCTATCTCGGGGACATCTTATAAACAACCCAGGAAACATTGTGTTAAAGTTAATCATTAGTCTCTGAGAACTGGTCCTGGTTTGATTGTAGGAGGCTCTAAATGAAGTGCTGGCACGTCTCACAAATGCCATTGCGCTTTAATCTCCTCCTTCGCACGCGCTCGAGGGTGACACGAGCGGCAATAAACTCGTGCGTAAATCAGTTGGAAACTTTAATTAATAAACAGGAACTGCGCTCCATGCTCGCATCACTCCGCACCAAGCATGGAGCAAGTGGACCAACACAGCTCACTTCCGGTTCGAGTAACCCCTTCCTCACCCAATGATGGCTTCCACTACAACAGGCCAGGTGAATAAAGCTGACGGGTTTCTAGTTTTGTTAATAGTTACAATTTACTGCAGGCCAACGAACAGAAAAAAAATCGTAATGAACTATGGATTAGCCTATTGTTTCTTACTTTCATTACCAAACATTTTATTAGGTTTATGTTGTGAAATTACACGCTGTTATAAATTAATAAATGACAGTGTTAACAGCATAACGTTTTCATTACAGAGATATAGTCTGCAATAAGAGTAAAACATTTGGATTACTTCACTGAAATCAGAGTTTAATCAAATTTGACAGATTAAGGCTTTGGCAAAGTCTCTTCATCAAACACAAGACTTCCCCACATCAGAGCCAAATATAAAACAGTCTGCTTTTGTGTGAATCTGTGAGAATTTTGCGTTTGAAACATGGGAACCATTGACTGTAATGAATATCAATATTTTCCAGCGGTCATATTGAACGCACGTGTGTTTACATCTCTATCTCTTCCAATAAAGTTCTGATTACAGTAAATAAAAAAGCTTAGCAGCAGAGGCGGGCCTTAGCGGGGACACGAGTGCTATTGGTCCGCGGGAGTCGTCACTCCGCGCTGATTGGTCGGAGCAGCTGTCAGTCCGCGAGGAGCCAGAGGGAGATGTGAGGGGCTGCGGTGCTGCCTGGCGTCAGTAGCTCCAGCGGGGTCGAGCAGCAGCATGGCCACAGCGGCGTCCAGCCCCTACACCCTGCTCAGCTCCAGCCCCATGCTGCACGCGGACAGCCAGGCCATGCAGCCCGCGAGCCCCTACAGAAGCCACCACAAACTGCTGCAGAGCGACTACGGGCACGCGCTGGGTCACCAGTGGGAGGGCAGCCCCTGGTCCGGCTCCATGGAGCAGCAGGACGTGAAGCCGGGCATCATCCACCACCACTCCCCCCATCACAACAACCACCCGGGCGCGTGGGGCAGCCCCGTGTCCCATAGCAACATGTCCTACTCCCAAACGGGCTTCTCCGTGAACGGCATCATGGAGCCCGGTGCCACCCAGAGCCAGGGCATGCACGCGGGCCTCAGGGACACCCTCAGCCCGGAGCACGGGGACCTGGGCCCGCACCACTGCCACGACCACTCGGACGAGGAGACGCCCACCTCGGACGAGTTGGAGCACTTTGCCAAACAGTTCAAGCAGCGTCGGATCAAACTGGGCTTCACGCAGGCGGACGTGGGGCTCGCGCTCGGGACACTGTACGGTAACGTGTTTTCTCAGACCACCATCTGCAGGTTCGAGGCGCTGCAGCTGAGCTTTAAAAACATGTGCAAACTCAAGCCGCTGCTCAATAAGTGGCTGGAGGAGGCCGACTCCTCCACGGGCAGCGCCAGCAGCATAGACAAGATCGCAGCTCAGGGTCGGAAGAGGAAGAAGCGCACGTCCATAGAGGTGAGCGTTAAGGGGGTCCTGGAGACGCACTTCCTCAAGTGCCCCAAACCGTCCGCGCACGAGATCACGTCGCTCGCGGACTCGCTGCAGCTCGAGAAGGAGGTGGTGCGCGTGTGGTTCTGTAACCGGCGGCAGAAGGAGAAGCGCATGACGCCCCCGGGAGAACCGCCACCGCCGCACGAGGGACCCTACTCTCACGGCGACGCCTCATGCCACGACCTCTGACCCCGGGAGGGAGCGGACCGTGGGGCGCGCGCCCCTGACAGACTCAGACAATAACAGACACCTGTCCGGCCTTCGTCATTCCCAGCGCCGTGAGGGCATTACTGCATCAGCACCATCTTTGGAGCCACTCTTTTTACCCACGAGAATCAAGGATATAAATACAAATGTGCCTATAACCTGCCAGCGCCTTGGTTTGATTCACCATCAGCTCAGAATAACATAAGAATAAGCATCAGCTGGGACTGCTGTTTTGTTTTGGGGCTGCGTCTCTGTTTCACGCGCGCGTTTGTGCGCCCAGCGGAGTGAGACCAATAACTACAAATACCAGTGGCTCTGTCACTTTTCTTAATTGATTTGCTGTGGACACCAGAGGCCGTTTTCTCACCTCGCGCTTCCCTCGGGCTCAAACCCACTGCTTTAGTTCTCTGCATATTTACACTCATTATTTTGTAACGCAAAATGTAATTATTTTCTCCAATAGGCCCTGAGTCATTTTTACGCGTAGAGGAACCATAGCACTTACGGAGCTGGTTTAACTGAACCGCTCTCCTTTGGCCTGTAGCTTCACATCTGTTATATTTGTGTTTTCATCTTCGACCATAAACTGTGTGGACTCTGAGCAGAGCGACGCTATACACCTGCCTATAATTTTATTGTACGTTCACTATCGAAAAACAAATTTTATAATCTTCCTGTTTATCGGTTTATTTCTTAAGTATTTTTTCGAATATTGTACAGTTTTATATATTACTCTTTTGAAGTCATTAATTTAAACAGAAATGCTCTTAGTTATCCACGCACTTAATTAGCAGCGTACAAAACAAACACACTATTTTCAGTAAGAAAGCTGAACTGTTTGGGCGAGGTTTGGTCCAAATTTCGATGACAGCTCAAGTAATTATTTATTTTCAGTATAAAGCTTGTATTATGTTTCCAAATAAACTATGTATGTTGTAAAAAACTATTCATGCTATAAGTCTTTACTGTCATCTGCTGTTTATAGAGGTTCAAGGGGGAAAAATGCGATTTCATCAGAACTAATTCTTGTTTGGCAATATACCTTTATTTGTTTAGAAGCAAAAATTATAATATATATTTTAATCTTCAATTTTATGATTTGCATGGAGTGTTTTTGCAACTGATTTATTTTCTTTGAGGAAATCAAATAACTATAGGTTTTGTACTTAAAAAAAATCTGAGACAAATTTTAAATAATAATGTATATGCATTATTATTATTATTATTATTATTATTATTATTATTATTATTATTATTATTATTATTATATTAATATTATATATTTTTATTTTTTTTTATTAATTTATTTATTTATAATTTTTACCTACTAAACATTTCCCTAATCATTTGATAAATGTTAAACAGTCAGTTGTAAAGTCATATAAATCTCATATTCTTCATTATACAGAAGTCTTAATTTCACTTTTTTAAATGAGAAAACATTGTATCAAAAATGAAAACAATATAATAGAAAATCATTGAGTTGAAATATAAAATGCTATAAACTGGACACTTGCAAGGACATTTTAGCTTTAGAACCCTGCCTTTTGAGTGTGGAGAATGTGTGTGTGTGCTGTGATTGTGTATTTCAGAAAATCGCTGAATGCTTTACATCTTTTATATCTTTACCAATGACACTGTAGTCAATTGCTCCACTCACTCTTCTTGAACCATCCTTTTGTTTCACATCTCTCAATATTTACTGTTTTTGACTCCACACCAGCACAACAAAGCAGCATAACCTTGACTCTGTTTCAATGTCAAAGCCTGCCTTCCCCTGCCCATCGCTTAAATGTCAGTCTGAACGCTCTGTAAAACATCCACTTATGTCTTTTGGCTTTTTCTCCTGGTTCTTTGCTTCGTTTGGACCACTCTCCCTCACTTCTCCTTCCTTCCTCTTTCCTCTCCTCTCTCAAATGTTATTGTCCAAAAGCCTCTGCCCTCCACAATCAGGCATGGGTGATTTATAGCCTGGTACGCTTGAGCTGACATCAAAACACAAAGACACACACGCACACGCACACACACACACACACACACACAAACATACATATGACCAAAACCTCATTTCAAAGGCTGCATCTGCTTATAATTGTGACTTGTGAGCTTTCTGAAAACTCATAAAATAATTCGAGTTGGGGTACAAAAAGTGCAGGTCTATAGATGGTGTCCAAAATAAGGATTTGGAGAGGTTCGGTGGTGGAAAAAGGGTGCCCGGCCTTGCCTTGAAATGGAGTAGCCTGACTGGAATACTAATGTGGATGAATTTATGCATGTCCTCAGTCTGCAGTCCTGAGAGGGGGTGGGGGAAGCGGCTGGGGAGAGGGAGGGGAGGGAGAGAGGGAGGAGAGGGAGAGAGGGAGAGAGGGCGGAGGTGAACTGTGGCTGTATATGGAGAAGAAGCATGCCTGATTGATTCCATCTATTTTTTCCCCTTTTTTTTTTCTTATTTCGGAATAGATCTGCAGGACAGTACTGGGAAATTATAGCAATCTTAGCGAACGCAATTAGGTAAGAGAGGAAAAAGTGATATATTGTTGTGAAGTTATGGTTATTAAATTTAATTTATACATTTAAAGGTGTATTTAGATCTGTTTTAGGTGTGGCAGTTCTGGATTTTAATTCATTTAACCTTTTTTGGGGTCAGATTATTTCAAACTTACATCTGAAAGTTTTGGTTAAGCTTCATTACAAAACCAGTCCAGTTGTGTTCAAATAGATCTTACTTTGTCAATACAACTAATAACAATACTTTTAATACTACTACTAATACTACTTCTACTACTGCTACTAAAAAGAAAAAACAATCAACAAATTGAATACAATTCTGTTTTCTAATACAAAAATGCATAATACATAGGAGCAACCCAAATAATTGAAATTAAAATTCTCACATAACTCAAATGTGTCACTATAATCCATTTACAACCCTACAAAATGTAATACACACAAACTCTGTTACAAATCGGATTTAAAAAAGTCAATCTAGAACAAATCCATTAAAATGATTAAAAATCTGTTACTGATCGCTTTGGTAGAGAGACAAAAAGATGCAAATTTAACATTTTTAAAAAGGTTCAGGGGAGGAAACTGAGCTAAAAAAAAAAAAAAAAAAAAAAAAAAGACATTATTATTATTTTTTATTTTTTTTAAGGAAACAACTAGAGGAAGTAAACAGGAGCCAGGGTTCAGACTGTGCGGTTCTGTTGTGCTCTCCACTTCACACAGTGTTTCTGCCCCATTAGTACCTTTAAACAGCTGACACCCTGCCAACTCCACACAGCACCAACATGGCCGACCTCGAGCTGTAATAGACTGGGAAGCGTATCTAAGGGCTGCTGTGTGTACAAAATACTACAGGAGTTATGCTGAAATGTGATTCTCTGTGAACTCTTGGCTTCGAAATCAGAACAAGAGGAATATAGGATATGGAAATGTTAATGAGATTGTTTTGATACACAAATATGAATGATAATAGCATGCTTTAGAGTTAGAAATGTAAAAAAAAATATATATATATATGACCAAGATGCAAAACTAGCTGACCACATGACTTATCTAACAAGCTATTTTAGTCATTTTTCCATACTTTTTATTACAAGAATTAAGATCATTCCAATGGTGAGAATTGTTACTTATAAAGAACATTAATAAATAGTATTAAATATAAAATCTAAAGGAAATAAAATAAGTGGTCCAGGTGCAGTAGCTCACACCAGACTCCAAAAATAGATGCAACCATGGTAGTTGATGGTACAATATTTAACTACGTATACTTTCATATACATTGTTATTATGAAACTAGTGGTTTTACTTTGGTGTAAGAGCGATGGCTTTTTACTCTCAAATTCAATAGAAACTCATATTTTTTAATTGTACACAACAATCTGTAGCTTTTTAGGAGAAAGAGTAATTTCAGTCATATACATGAAATAATAATACAATATTTTGATCGTGAAGAAAAAATAAGGTTCATTCAGATAGGTATAATAAACTTATCAAAGTAAAAAATACCACATAGAAAATAAAATAAGGCGCAGAATCATACACTAAGTACTAAAAATACATTAGTGATTAGTAGCAGTAATGGTGAAATGTTATTACACACATATTTAGATCCAGAACATTTATTTTCACAAAACTTTGTACAATTTGGTGCAAGAACCCATACGCCTTTTACTCACAAATTCAATAGAAACTAGAATAGAAACAACAACAACAATAATCTGTAGCTCTTGAGGAAGTACTTTAAAGGGTAATTTAAATCACATATATATAAATATTTTGATCATTAATACAAAAAAATAATAATAAATAAGGTTCACCCAGATCTTACAAAAAGGTAAGAATAAATAATACTATAAATACTATAAATAAAATACTATATAGAAAATAAAACACATTACCCAGGTGCAGTAGCTTACACCAGATGCCAAAAATATATTAGTAATAGTAAAAGTAGTAATAGTAGTAGTGTAGTAGTAGTGGAAGTAGTAGTAGTGGCAATAGTGAAATGTTATTACAGACGTTTTGATTTATTTTCATGAAACTTTGGCCAATTTTGTGCAAGAACCTTTCACTCAAAGAGCCTTTTACTCACAAATTCAATAGTCTCTTGTTCATAATTCTGTCTTTTCTGCACTATTATAGGAAGTAGCCTAATTTAAAGAGTGATTACGATCAAATATTTCAATCATAAAGAAAAAACAAGGTTCATAATAAAGACATAAGAATAAAAAAACAAAAAAACAGTGCCCAGGTGCAGTGGCATATACACCAAAAATAGTGTTTTTATACAGTACATTTATGAATCTATACATGCCTTCTACTCACAAATTCAATAGAAACTCATAATTCTTCTGTCTACACCAAGTAAATAACACCAACAATAATCTGTATCTTTTTAGGAAGTCATATAAAGCGTATAATTCCCTCAAACTTCCTCACAGTTTGTCAGAGAAAGACGTGGAGATGAAAGTGTG